GGCTGCCGGAACCCATAGGGTTTAGGGCTTAGGGTTTAGGAACCCATGTATCAGGCAAAAAACAGCTGGAACTCGTTCATGAGGTTGATCCAATCCAGGGCGGCGTAGTCGAGTTGGAGGTAGTACGTGGCTGACAGTCACAGCGGAGCGCGGAAACCAAAGCAACTAGCTGAGGTGGTAGTCACTGGAGGAGCAGCTACAGCAAGATTGGCACTAGCAGCAGCAGGAATTGCAGCAGTAGTCGTCGTTGTCGTAGTAGTAGCAGCAGCAGTAGGATGGGCGTAGCAGTAGTCGTGGTGGTGGTGGGGGTGGTGCTGGTGGTGGTGGTGGTGGTGGTGGTGGTGGTGGAAAGAAGGTCTGCCAAGTTTTCAGTGACAGTCGCAGCAGCAGTATTAGTAGTAGTAGTAGTAGCAGTAGTAGTAGTAGTAGTAGTAGCAGCAGCAGCAGTAGTAGTAGTAGCAGGGGGAGGAGGAGCAGCAGCAGCAGCAGCAGGAGGAGGAGGAGGAGGAGGTGGTGAGGAGGAGTAGTAGTAGTAGTAGTAGTAGTAGTAGTTGCACAAACAGGTGTAGCAGAAGGAGTTTTAGTAGTTGCAGTTGCAGCTGAAGTTGTAGCTGACAAAGTGGTGCTCATAGCTACTATTGCTGTCGTTGCCGTCGCTGTTGCCCTGTTGTTGCTGCTGCTGCAGGTACAGGTGCTATTGCTATGGCTCTTGATACTGTATGGCTAATGTTATTGCGGTTGTTCTTGCCCTTGCTGTTAGTTTTTGGCTTCGCTGCTCTTTGTAGTGTCGCTGTTAATGCCGACAATGATGATGTTGTTTCATCCGCAGTAGTATGAAGATCACAGCTGCCTTTTCAGCAGCGACTGATGTCTCGACATGAGGCTGTAGGTAGCTGGGGCAGCACATGAACCACTAAAACCCTGCACACTTAATGCTCTTCCATGTACTCTAAATACAAACCCCTTCATAAACCCTTTTGCATCCAGGACTCTGTGCACATACGCCCCATCAACCCAGAGTCTGTTTGGAAGGCAAGCCGCTGTCAGTGACGTCGTCGTCAAACTCTTCAAGCAGCATGCGGGCCCCCACGAGCTTCTTGCGTTCTGAAAGGTGCGACCATGAAGGACAGGTGATCGGGGCTCATGAGGTTTACTTCTTGAAGGGTTGGGATCCAGGGCATCGATGAGGAGGTTAACTGGCTTAGCATTTGTAGGTTAGGGAATCGTGTTTTCAGGGACTGGCGTCCGGTACTCCAAAAAAAACATGCTCAAGACCCCACTCCAGTGAAGGCCCCCTGCAATTAGTATGCTCCTGACCCGCCATCCTGAGGGCTTTTTGGTTGAGGGGATTGGGGTCGAGGTTGCTATGGCTGAGGGCTTCGGGCGCTGACTTTTGGGGTTTATCGGGTCTAGGGTTCAGGTTTAGGGTTTAGGGTTTAGGGTCATTATAGGGTTTGGGGGTTTGATCAGGACTTAGGGCTTGTAGTTATTAGTTATAAAGGTATCGATCGCAGGCTCGTGGCCCAAACCCAACACCGACATCAACGACTCTAGAAGCCTTCATAATTACAATAAGATTTTACACATTTTACTGCATGCTAAACACTTTCTATATAGGTACCATAAACGGGCAATGTGCCTTAAGCCTTGAGTGTTACAAAGGTTGAGGCTCGGGGGTCCTACATTTTACTGCTTCGCCGTCAGCCACAAGGAACCACAAAACAGAACCTATCTCTAACCAGACACGCAACGCATGCTACCACAGTATTTTCTGTCGAGATCTACTATAGGGAACGTAATAAATAGGACAGCGTGTTGAGCTGCAACAATAACAAGAGTCCTAGAGAATAGGATTACTGATTATTTAAGCCCTAAGCCCTCAACCGCTTCTGTATCACCTTGAAGTCCAAAAACATCGCGAGGACAGGTCCGCCCCTGGGTGAAAAATGTGGGGTTTGACTAATGGTGGAGGCGCGTAACAGCACTAAATGCTAAGATCCTTACATCGTAGTAGACATTCCTAAATAAGGTACCCCCAACATAGACGAACTCTAGTTAACCTAAAAAGAGAACCCAGTCGAACCCTAGACCGTAAACCAGAACACCAAGAGCCTTGATGTGATCAAGAAACTCCCATTCACTGAAACCCTAGACACTCAACCGAGGTCCTGCCTTGTGTCTGCTGGAAATATTCCATCTGGAAGAAGACAAGCCGCGGGATTCGCGCCTTGTTCCTCAGCTACTCTAAATGGGGTTTAGGGGTTTAGGGTTTAGTAGGGTTTAAGTCCCAAAAGGGCCCTGTGTACCTATTATGGGGGATAATTGCCCGAGCCACAAAGGTACATTCTACTTAGTAACTTAGTACTACAGAAGCCAATGACTACCACTGCTACTACTGCTGGTGTTCATACTGACACTACGAGTACTACTAATGCTAATCCCAATCCCAATCCTAATGCCAATAAGAATGCTAACATCAATGCTAATACCAATGCCAATGCTAGTACTAATGCTGACCGATACCAACAATAAAGCTAATGATAGTAGCAACCGTAGTACCAATAATAAGACAGAACAATAAAACAGATCATACGAAAAACGGCAATAGGAATACTACAAGTACAGATACTATGCCTACCAATAACAATACTCGTAGCAGGAATAGTAGCAGTAGTAACAGAATAATAGTCATACTTCATAATCATGATAATAATCGCATAAAACAGTAATAATTGTGCTCTGTGGGGAGGTCCCCCCCTTTCCCGAACTGGCTTGTCCAGGCTACCGGTCTGCCGTCTCGAAGCTAACCTGGGAGAAGTCCATGGCTCAGGGATTCAGAGGGCTTCAGGATTCGGAGGGTTAGGGCTTAGGGATTCTGAGGGTTTTAGGGTGTTTTCAGCCTTTTGTCGGTCTGAAGGTAACAGGAACTGCAAGACAAAGCAGGCTCCGGAACGGGCATGGCGTTCTGTCCGGAACTATGCAGCTTCTTGCTGCGCGGCTACACCTAGCGATTACGACGAATCAACCCCCGCATGTGTCATCAGATCATATGGCAAGATTCCTGCCTCCACAATCCTCTAACACTCTAATGAGGTTCCTATGCGGCTTTGTACGGTGATATAATGGTTTTTCGCATCTTTTGATATCAAGCAGTGCGGAGAAGACAACTCTCGATCGGCATGTACGGGGCCTTATGAGGGGTTGCTGCTAAGACTTCTTGTTACAGCTTTGCTGCCCAAAGTGAGGTCCACAGCTTTGGCGAGCTGGCAACGAAGGTCTAAAACCTACTCTGGTGGCTTTAGGGTTTAGGGCTTCTAGGGTTTAGGGTTTAGGGATTACTAGCCATGCTGGGGACAAGCAAAGTCGGTCCTGGTCAGGTGGCTCTGAAAGGAAAACTACAGACACACAGACACGCACGCAAGCAAGCTAAAACACCCACACACAACACACACACACACACAACAGAAACAAACAACCTGATACATGTGTTCAGCTTCGATGCTTTGTTTTTGTCTGCACCACGTGTGGTACCCACCATCGCCTGCCCCCCCCCCCAACACTGCAGCCGTCCATCATCACCCCGACCCTCACATCCTCATGCTTGAGCTGCAGCCAGTAGACTGTTGGGCAGACTACGCAAAGGATTCGACAGTGAAGTACTAAACCCCAACACCCCCAGAGGCCGAGGTTAGGTCTGATCTCTAATTGAATCAACTGGATCTCCTCTCCAGCACTCCTGGAAAACGGAATTGAAAATAGTATGCTGCTAGGCTCTGGGATAGGGCCCCAAACCCCAAACGCTAAGCCAACGCTTTAGGGGTTTCCTTGTGTAGGGCCCAGGTTGGAGCTATGAAGGGCAGAACCTCTGCTTCAGAGGCACAGCTGTAAGCGCCTCCGTGCCTTCCATGCCTCAGAGGGTACTTCGTGTCTTCCACGGTTGGAACGGCAGGAATCACTTTGGGTTTAGGTTTTAGGGTTCAGGGTATCCAGTCAGACCACTTCCAGCAAACCAAGTAACGCAACTTTGACTGTGCCAACGATGCTCTGTCTACTGCGAAACCCATCCGATGAGACCTCGCAAGACTTGTATACCATACAGTACTGTACAATACTGTACAATACCGTACTATACTGTACTATACTAATACTATACTATACTATACTCTACTCGTCTATACTATGGTACTATGGTAGAACCGTTCATGTCCTCCCGCCTCCGCAGGCGCTGGGAAGTTCTGGAACCAAGGAATCCCGCAGCCAAACTCTGAGCTCGAACCAGCCGGTTTAGGGTGTAGGGGCTTAGGGGTTCAGGGTTTAGGGTTTTTTTTCCTTTAGGGTTTTTTCCCTCTCGCATGGCTGAGGATCTATGCCCACTAGCGAGGGTTTAGGGTTTAGGGTTTTGGGTTTAAGCCCTTAAACCGGGGCCAGATCCCCGAATATCAAGACTCAGTTCCTGGAGAACGAACCCCAGTAGCCCAAACCTACAACTAAACTCCGGAGCGCTGAATGCAAAAGCCCAGGCTAACTCTCGACCCTAAATAATATGACCTTGAACTTGACCTTCACCTTGCCGCAGTCCAGACCCTGGTCCCCGAGGCCTACCGTGCTTTAGATGCAAGCTCACCCCGGCATCTGCCTTAGAGCCCGCAATTACCTGTAGCACCCCGTAACCCAGCGAAACAGAAATCCTCCTTCTTGCCCTTCTAGTTACAGAGGGCTCCTCTCTGTGGCTTAAAGATCAAGAAAGGGTCTGAGACCTAATCAACCAGCAGGCCTCTTGGGGCTTTCGACCGTCTTGTAGGTTCAATTGATGAGGGTGCAACCACGAGACTGTCCTCCTAGGGTCACTACAGGTTCACCTTTGAGATGGTTAAAGGCTTATAGTACCCCAAGCAGGGTAAAGCTTATCTACACGGCTACTAAGTAAGCCTCGAAGCAATGACTCCTAGACTATGGCCTTTAATGTGTTTGCAGCCCCTAAACCCCAAACCTACCCTACATTAAACCCCAAACCCTAAACTTAATGTGCTTGCAGCTCCGATGCTGGAGAAGAAAGCATCAGCCACATCTGGATCCAATCCGCCAATGGGCTCGCCGAACTCGTTCTTTTCTTGGAGCTCCTCGGTGGTTGCGGGGAACCTCCGTACTTAGGGCTTAGAGTTTAGGGTATAGGGTTCAGGGGTTTAGGGGTTTAGGGTTTAGGGGTTTAGGGGTTTAGGGTTTAGAGTTTAGGGTATACTGCTCAAACGTGTAATATGATGCCGCCTGTCTGCAAAAAGTCAGCTTGACCAGAAAATTTAATCCTGAACCGACCCTGAAAACAAACGTGCCGTGTGCATCTACAGCATGTCACCAAGGCGCTTCGAAAAGGATCGGGAACGTTGTAATGTAGAAGAGGTCCACTTCCTGAATATGGAAGCTAAAAGATGTGCCGAAGATGATCTGAAAAAAAAGGCCAACAAAGCCTGGGGCGTAGCCAAGACACCTAATGAGAATCCAAACTCCAATATCATGTACTGGACTTTGAAGTAACCAGGGATAAAAAAAAGTATAGACTTTTATTTTATAATGGTTCCTTTAAGGAACAGGTCCAATAAAACAAGTATTCAAGTATGGTACTCCAAAACCCAGTGTATGGTGCACAAGCCTAAACCCTGCAACTGGAACTGAATCTGATGGGCTGACAACCCGAAGCTGTGGTGCATGTCTGGCTCCGTGGTACACCACGGAATGCAATGTTGATTTTTTGAAGCTCTCCAAAAGCCACATGGACATATCTTTAGTGATGAACTTCTTGAGCCCAAAAGGTCCTCAAGAGCCACTTTGAGCAGCTAGACGCATAGGTAGTTCTCTAAATTAGGGTCCCTTTTAGGGGTCCTTTTTACAAGGGTGCCGTAACTTTCTTGGGGACCTAAAACGGGGCCCTAATTTAGAGAACTACCCACGTGAAACGGCTCCTGACGCCCTAAACCCTAAAGCCCACACAGCATGCACCCATCCCAAAAGCCACCTGGGAACTCCAACTCTAAGCCATAAATACCGTTTTTCCCTCCTACCTAGCTAGGACACGCCCGCAATGCAGGGTAAATACCGTTTAGGGTTTAGGGCTTATAGGGTTTATAGGGCTTTGGGTTTAAGGGTTTTGGGTTTAGACTCCCGACCGCGAGACCTCAACCCATCATAAGTCCGTGGAAGAAATGCCAAAGTGCCATGCAGGGATCTGGAAAATTTGCGCAAAGTCCGCGTGTAGAGTGTATAGCTTCCATCTAATCAGAGTCATAGAATGCTATATACCTCCCTGAACCCAAAAGACCCCTAGACCCCTAACCCCCTACCCCCTGGTTTTAGGTTTAAGTTGACGAGCCGCACAAGAAACCAAAGTTAGACTCTGCGTTTGATTAGGGATCCCGCAGTGTTTTCTCGAGTTCTGCAGCTTACATGAGCACTTGGCCCCTAATGTAGGGGCCTTAATAATTAGAATAGGGGTTTTGGGGGGTTCCTTATTAGAATTATACTATAATATACCCCCCAAACCCTATTCCAATTATTAAGGCCCCTATATTACTCCAAGCAAGCCCTGCACACCTCGTCTAGCGCCCACCAGAGGGTGGCGGGGTGTCCTCGACATCAATCCGAACTGTTTTCAGCCAGGGGTTTAAACCATCGCCATATTGAGCTTCTGCGGCTCAGCTTGAGAAATACCTGTGAATGACTATAGACCAAGAATTTCCAAAACACATGTGGAACCTGTTTCTTTTTTGCATTGGCCCAATAGGCAATTGCCAACACGTAGAGTTGTTTACCGGTTTTGTACAAGTTTTTGTTTGCATAACCGTTCGCCCGTCTTTGGTGTTAGCGCGTAAATTTGTTCGTACCATGTTTTTTTGCAAACAAGCCACGTTTCATAGCTGAAGTTGGTATGTGTTTGTGTTTGATTTTTTCCTTGCCCACAGCTTTTGCAGACACGCCTTCGCAAGACCTAAAGACCACTACGACTACAACCCTCATGCCCCCATGCTTGAGCAGCAGCCAGTTGATGCAAGCCCTTTTGCACTAAACAGTGAACCCATGGGGCAGACAAGACATGTTGGTCGGCATTCTACCTGGCAGATCACGGCACTCAGCACATAGGGGCTAACGATGATGAGTAGACCATGCCAACTCTACTATTTGGGTATTTGGGGCTGTTGGAAAGCCTCTTAAATCCTAAACCCTAGCCGCTAAACCAAATTTGGCCCAAACCCCCTAGTTTTAACTACGAATGCTACATTCGGCGCCACTCTAGAAACGCAACCGCCGGAGCCATCAGTAGGAGTTTAAACGAAGACCTACACCCCAAAACCCTTCAGTTTAGCCCTCCAGAAACAACATCCAAGCGTAAGGTCCTTCCGGCAGTCGCTCTTCAAAGTTGCACTTCGTGATGAAGTTGCAGTTGTCCGCCACGGGAGCTCGGAGTGCGCTTTTTTAGGGATATGAAGTGGGTTTCGCGATTAGGGCCACGATTACGGTCAAACAGAGTCTTCGTTGCTAATATTCCCCTGGCGAACAGTGGAACTTGTGGGAGTACTATATAAACTAATCAAAGCCCTGACAATGTTCTCTTCCGTAAACAGGCTACGAAGCAAAACATCAAATACTAAGGAGGTCCGGGAACAGCAATAGCAATAGCTGGTGCACCAAAGGCTTGCGGCCTTCATGTTGTATGCCCAATGTCCTTTCCCATGGGCTCCAAAGTAGTTCCTTTCTGGGTTTCTATTTAGGATCCTTATAAGGTAATCCCCAAGAAGACTTACTAAGGAGCCTATGGGTACAGTTCCCGAACAACTAAACTCAGGTCTCTCAGCTTATTACGTGGCCCTGAGCACCGGAGAGCGGCGCACGTGCACCGTCCGTGTCAGATGGTTGCTTAGTCTCAGGGCTAGGGTGCTAAATTGAATATCGCACGATTGATCCTTGGCGGTGAATCTCCGTCGTGATAATATGCTTATAGCATCGTAAATTACATGCAGTAGTGTTGTTTGATGCATGTGGATGGTGTGGCATGGAATTCGATTGGGAAACTTGTCTTGTCTTCTACTAGAGTCCTCCTGGAGATCTGACGCGACTCGTGCTTGGTATCATTTGATCCTCTAACCCCCTTGGCATCGAAAAAGCCCTTGTACCCAGACCCAAACCCAAGTACTTTTTGGTGTTCCCTGAATCGGAAAACATAACCAACCAAAACACAACACGAAACATACACATCAGAGCAGCTTAGCCTCAAAAGCCCTAAACCCCGTAAACCCTAACCCAAAATGCCCTAAAACCCTAAGCCACTAAACCCCCTAAACCCTAAACCCCTAAGCCCTTATAAACCCTAAAGCCCAAAACACCCTCAAAACCGTCTGCCAAGAGACCCCAGGATTCCTGCAAAGTGTCCTCCGCTGCTGCGGCTTTCGGGGGGCTTCTTGTGGATTTCATGGTTCGGTATAGGGCTTAGGGTTTAGGGTTTGGGGTTTAGGGGTTTAGGGTTGTAGGGTCTGTTCCTACTTGTCCAGTCTCCTGGGGAACTAAAAGTTATCCGTTTGGGGGCATAGACGGATTACAATACCCAAAAAGGGTTGAAGGCTACATGTTCTACTACTAGGTCTTTTGCGTTATTTCTTTAAGCGCGAGGTTCATGTCGAAAAGGTGCTTTGCTTGTGCTTGCCTTGTTTTAGGGTTTAGGGTTCATGTCCAAGAAGGGTTTTTTGTCTCTGGGTTTCGATCAGGTGGGGCCCCAAACTACACAGCAGTGCTGACTTCTACGTTTTGAGGTCCCGTGACTTGCAGGAAAGCCTCGCTAAGTGCCGGGGGAGTCTTTGGGGCTGCATAAGATGACGGAGTCGATGGCCCTCCTCGCTGTTCATGAACTTCGTGAACGACAGATATAGGGTTGAGGGTTTCGGGTTTAGGGTGTAGGGCCTAAATATCACAAGCCCTTGAAGAAGATTTTTTTTGGAGCTGAGGCCTAAACCCTAAAACCCAAAACGCCCACAAATGCTGTCGAAAGGGCGAAGTTGATGATAAGGGGCTGCACAATCTCCACCTCTGCAGCCGTGTAGAGGTCGCCTTGGCTGGGTTGGACATACTTAGTGTCTTATGGGTTTTGGGGTTTTAGCATCCATGAGGACTATGTAATGCAGGCTTAGGCCACACATTTACGCCGAGAGCAAAGCCTAATTATTTACCAATGCTATTTTGGGGGGTTCTTTAAAATTTAATAACAGCTACAATATAACATATCCCGCCCAAACCCTATTCTAATTATTAAGGCTTCTACATTGGCCCTTTTCACTAAACCTTCGTTGGATCAGCCCAAGAAGCCCCGGCCTTGGCGTCTTAGGGTTTAGGGTTTAGGCTGTAGGGAAAAAGTGTCCCAATCGAGGCAAAACTCCCTCAGACAGAAGGACCCACTATGACCACTATGAGTTCTTTAGCGATTCTAGCATTCTTACGATCTAAAGTTAAAGGGATCATCCTTAGTCTGCACTGCTGTACTCCTGCAATTTAAACAGCTATCATCCAGATCCTGAACCCTGAACGTCGGCTTGGGTAATTTGTTCTCCTGAACCTCCGAAACCTGAACCCCTGACCCTTCAACCCTATACCCCTGATGGGGCCGGACCATCTAGCCCTAAGACTCCAAGCATACAATATCTACTTCTGGGTCTGAAATCTATACATCGTACCTGCTTCGGGCTGTTTGGAGTGTTACTTGTAGGTAAGCACTCAAAAGCCCCAAACCCTCAAACCCTGCAAATCCCTGGTTTGCCTGGACCCGAAGGCCCTAAGGCCCTAAACCCTGCGAGCCTCAAGGCCCTAAGGGGCCTTAAGACTTAGAACAGGGCTTTGGGCTCCTGTACAGCATATTTACAATAAGGAACCCCTAAAGTAGTACTAGAATTTATTAATAACTTGAACAGGGTTTTGGGCTCCTGTAGAGAATAATTACAATAAGGAACCCCTAAGAGTAGTATTAGTATTTATTTAGGCCTCCATACTAAATTGCCTCGCCAGGGCACAGCCGTCACGAACTTGGTCCCCGGGTGACTCGAAGAGATCCCACAGAGTGATGTAAGAGTCGAACCTTTACTTAGCATCAGGAGAGTCTGATAGGGCCGATAGATACAGTGGGTAGACACATAGATAGATAGACAGATAGATAGATAGATTTATGGTCTACGGTTGTAGGTGTCTGAGCGGGTATTCAAGGTTGTAAGGGCTGATCGTTGGGGGATGTTCGCTTCCCGGCTTGGGTGTTGGGCTTGTTTTGCTTCGTAAGTTTTGGCGTGGGTGTTGGGTGCTATGGCTACGGCTAGAAGGCTGCCCGTGGTTCTCACGGCGAGATCCCTCGAAACGGCCACCCTAAGCGGATGTGTTTACACAGCAGGATCCTCCGTACGGTCCAATTATCTGTAGTTGGGTTTCAGAGTCGTAATGTCGCCATGTAAGCTGCTATATCGGGGAGTACATGAGTATTCGTTATTAGTCACGTTCCTGTGTCGGTGGTGTTTATCGGGTAGAACCCGTATAACCTATAAGTTAGTAGGCACATGTAAGCCTATCTGCTGCGATACTGCGACATCTGAGCCCAAGGTTGGGGAACACTTGTCAGTGCCATGGGCTTCGCTCTGGCCTCAGAGCCGTACCGTCCTGTCGGTGCGATACCCAAACCCCGTAAATCCCACAAACGCCTAAACTCTAAACCCTTCATGGAAAAGCCACGGAATTACCCATAGGCTTCGTACGTAGTTCCTTTTTCTGGTTTATACTTAGAATCCTATAAGGAAATCCCAAAAAGGACCTGCTAAGGAGCCTATGGGTAAAAAAGTCATCATGACTTGGGCAAGGCATCCTGGAGCCTGCGTTCCCTCGCAATGGAGCCCGGGCCTTGACACCCCAGAACTGAAAAGATCCTCCAGGGGGTCCTAGGTACCTTCACGGGCTCTTTTAAGGGGGTTGAGGGTTCCTTTAAGGGTT